CTAATCTACCGCTAAGAAACCTATCAAACCCTATGTCGTTCGACTTATTATCACTACCCCTAGCTTTAGGTGGAAATAACTTCCTGATTTGCTTAAAAAGAGGCTCGAACTGTTTTTTCAAAATGCCATAAGCTGCCTCGGCGATTATGTGGAGTCTGTCAATAACTCTAGTCACTAATTCTTGAGGGTCACCAGTCGAAATAAAACAGATGGGTTCGAGGAACCCATCTACGTTTGAGGCTACAGAGCAAGACAAAGGCACGTGTTTGGCTACGCTTTTTGTAACTCTACCTAACGGGGGTAACTCGGTATGGTCGAAATAGCATTCGAAATCGTAAGTTGCTCGGAAGGGATAAACAAAGTTATTATCTACATCTAACCCATAGGACGCTAAAAACTCCCAGATTGTTTGGTGTGTGTGATAAAGCCCTCCCTTATACCTATCTACGGGTTTCCCCCCATTACACCCTTTCACGTGTCTGTTCATTTGTTGAACGGTGGGCCATAATTTGTTACACACAGAACACGCGAAAGAGTGACCCGCCCCACCTATATTATTAATGTACATAAACTGATTTTGAAAAAATAAAAGGTATACAGTCTCCCTAAACCTATCACTACTTCTAAGTTTCGGAGAAAGGATCTGGTTTTCGTCAAATTCAAAAAGCTCAATATTTACACTAAAACAGGACTCTAAGAGGGGAATTTCGACCAACCTAACCCCGCTAAAATTATCCAAGGTCCCGAGACCTTGGTGCGCTTGCTACTGTTTCGCGAGTTTTAATGTTGGCTTTCTAAGATCTTGTAAGGGTGCTCCTAAATGTGTGGCTAAACATCTAAAAAACGAGAAATTGTCTGTGTAGGGTTTTGCTTGTGAATCCTTTTGTAACATGTTAATGGCGTGATTATGTTTAATAAAGTCAGGAATGTCTGTAAGAAGGTACGTGGGTGAAGGTTTGTCTGTGGTCGTGTGTAAGTCTACCGCATCTCCCCGTAGGTCGTCTACAGGAAAAATAGGGGTGTGTGAATTAAGGTTACTGTCATTGTTAGTCTTTACGCGTTTGTTGTTTGCTATATCGTCATACGTCGTATGTCGTTTTAAAGGGCTAGTGTTGGTCGCGGTACGAACTGTTTGGGTCGCTGATGGGAGTTGGACAGTATGTGTGTCGATCACCAATGTGGGTTGGTGTGTTTGTCTATCGGTCACGTATAGTGGTTGCGGAGTTTGTCTAGCGGTTGCTGATGGGGTGTCGGTCGGTAATGTTTGGTTGCTGTGTGCTTTCTTAAAGTGTCTTGTTAAATTACTTAGTAGTGTAAATACTTTCCCGCATGTTGTGCAGGAATGTCTTTGTCGGCCGTGAACAGAGTCTTGATGTCGTGTCAAGTGTTGTTTAAGGGTGAATACCCGCTCGCATATGTCACATGTGAAGCGCCTCATGGTTGGTTGGGTGGTAGGTTGGGCTGCTTCCATTATTGATAAAGTATCTAGTAGTTGGTTGACTGGGTAGGTCGTTGGCTGTAGAATAAAAATTAAAATTAAAAATTAAAATAAAATACATGAAATAAAAAACATACTTAAAATAAAATTGAAAATGAAACGTACCTATGGGTTTGCACGTCTAAGCTGAACGTGAAGTTAACTGTATGTGGAGATCCGAAGTGGTGTAGTTGGATGTAGTTGGATCTTTGGTTCAGTGGATGCCTCAGGGCTGGGTAGGTAGCTCAATAGGTCAATCGATGGAACAGTTGTGTCGGTTGTACACTAAAAAGAAAATTCAATTGACTACTTATTTAGATACATATTTATTTAAAGGTTATTTTAATTGGTTAGTTTCCTTAAAACAATACGTACTATTAACCTTACCTCGGTGTACGATACAAAAAGTAAAGTAAATACATGTGACTACTTATTTAATAAAATTTGATTTTAATGGGGTTAGCCACCTTAAATCAATACGTACTATTAACCTTACCTCGGTGTATGATACAAAATTAAATTAATTAATTAAAAGGTATTTTAATAGGGTTAGCGCCCTTAAAACAAAAAAGTACTATTAACCTTACCTTTAATAGAATAAACACGCACAGAGTGCGCTCCGTGGTTGTTTAGGTGGATGTGATGGTTGGTAAAGCTGGCGTGGGTTTAGTCTCAGGAGTCAACAGAGTTCTCAGGTAGGATAAGTCGCGGTGAAGCTTGGTGTGAAGTCCGAAGTTGAAGTGATTAGAACACAATTTTCGCGGTCATTTATACGATTGCTCAGCGTAATTACACCACCCGCTGTCGCACAACAGCTGTTGCATAATGACCTAAGTGCTTCGCTGAAAGCCACTTAATGTACATCGTTAATTACCATAACCTGTCAAACCGAGCAGGGAAAAAAGCCATTAATCATCATGACCCGTCAAATCGATCGGGGAAACTCGGTGAAGCATAACAAAATTTAATTAGGTGGGACATCATGCTGTGATGGCCCGTGGGTGGGATCAATATAAAACCCATTAATCACTACGAGGCGCGTGTCATGGTAACAGGTGTTCCCACACTTAACGCGGGCTTTGTGGTTAACCACTTAGCTCTTTCGATTAAACGCGGAACCCCTGCTGTGATCGGGTCGGCGAACAACGCATAAACCCACGAGGCGTGACCAAATTTAATTAGGTAGGCCATCATTTGATGGCCCAGCGGCTGCGATCGATACAATACCCATTAAAAACGCTCAGCGCGTGTCAACAAAGGATCGCGGATCAATAAGTAACAGATGTGGTTAAATGGATGTTCTATTTTTGTAACGTTCATTGTGTCGGAGAATTTAACCTGTTATTTGTACACGTTAGTGTTAGTCTTTTATTTAAAACATACATACATTCAAATAAACAGTGTCTTTTATTTCAAATACCAGACATCAAAGAAAAGAAATATATTAAATAAACAAATAAACAAAGTAATTAAAATCAAAGAAATAAAATGAATTTCAAACTAATAATCAAATTAAAATAATTACTAATTATAAAATAAAAATAATTAAAATCACATTACGTAACTATTGAATAAAAATTACACAATATAAACAAATAAACAACAAGTAAACAAACAAAGTAAACAATTTAAAATCAAACAAATAATCAAATTACGTAACTCGTTAATAATAATTGAAATAATTATAAAATAAAATTTAAAAATTAAAAAAATTAAAATCCAATTACGTAACTAGGTCAATAAAAATTAATTAAAAAGTAAACAAATAATCAAATTACGTAACTAGTCAATAAAAATTGATTAAAAATTTAAAAAACTCATTAAAACTCATTAAAAAACGCATTAAAATTACGTAACTAGGTCAATGATGATGTCACAAGGTCACTAATTACGTCACAAGGTCAATGATTACGTCACAAGGTCACCAAAAGGTGACCTACTTCCCCACCACCTCCGCCAACCCCAGTTGGCGCAGTATTTTACTATATGTCGTTGTACCAGGCAGCGCATCCTGCTCACCCACCCTCACCATCCCGCGGCGCCAGGCTGGGAGTATTTTACTATATGTCATTGTACCAGGCCCACATCCTGCTCCCGAGTATTTTCCTATATGTCATTGTTCCTCACCATCCCCACCTCCGCCAAAAAATCGGTCCAAAAGTGACCTAATATACTACTTGCGTCAAACCTTACCTTAAACCACCAGGATACTGCACCAAACCTTATCTAAAACTGGCCTAAACATTTAATTGTCAAAAACGTGGAGTTTACAATTTTAGGCCTATATTTTTATTACTTGTCCTAAAGCCTAGTTTCATAACAGTTCTACTTAGTGCAAGTACTGTACTGTACTACCAGTGGCGTAGGCGGGGGGGGGGATAGGGGGGTCATAACCCCCCCCCCCCCATAGACCTCTCGGTATATAGAAAAAGTATGAGGGGGGGGGGTGCAAATCGAAAGTTTAAGGGGGGTGCAAATCGAAAGTTTGAGGGGGCTGCAAATCGAAAGTTTGAGGGGGGTGCAAATCGAAAGTTTGAGGGGGGGGGGGGCGCAAATCGAAAGTTTGAGGGGGGGGGGGGGGGGGGAGGGCGCAAATCGAAAGTTTGTCCCCGGGTAAAAATTGGAACCTCCCCTTGAGACGATCCTGGCTACGCCTCTGCGTACTACTGTGACCCATTTACAATTTTATGACTAAACAAGCCTCCAGTTAGAAGAGTCATTAGCAGGTGTTAGCTTTGTTTATGTTGAATTTTGAGACTGGCATAACTTATTAACTAAAAGTTATGCCCCTCCCCCTAGGCTTAAACTAAATGCAAGAAGAACTTAATTAATGGCAAAGATTAAGATTGTTCCTAAACCATGTTTAAAATTATGCCACTATATTTTCATAGTGGTCAACATAACATGATAAAATATTAGCATTTAGGTCTAGGCCTACTTCAAATTGGTTTTTAATTTACTAATTCAGCGTAGGTAGGCCTATACAAGCATAATGATGAATATTCCGGCATGTAGTCTACTATTTGCTTATTTAAATTATTAGGTTTAGGCTTATTAATATATTTAGGCCTTACACTCTGCTGAAAGGTGATAAAATAGTAGGCCTATAGGCCTAGCCTAAATATTAAATATGCTAGGCCTAATATAAATAAATTGTGTTGCCTAGGCCTATTTAAATAAATATTTATTAGGGCCTAATTTAAATAAAATAGCCTAGGTCTACCCCCTATGTCAATTTACTGTAAAAAAAGTTCCACTTGACATAAAATAATATTTAAAAAAGAAATCACAAACATGATGGTGTGGTCAGCACCATCCTCCGCCGCCTTTAATCACCACGAATGAGGTACCCATCCGAGCTGGGTGTACTCAGGGACGTCATACAAACCAAAATCCGAACTAAGGGCTCTGGTTAGCAGTCGAGTGCTCTACTTCCCAGCCCCGCTGTCCTAGTACTACGTTATTTAAGGGATTGTTTTTATTGAATTTGTGTAACAAAAAAAAATTGTAAAGAAATGCTTACCATAGGAAAAACGAATCCACCATTGTAATCTGTGTGCTCACCGATTAGATTCACACGACCAGGAGCTCGGGAAGCGACGTTAGGCTTTGAACCAAATCTCTTCTCAAAAGCTGCACAGGCCTCGGTTACCAACTCGTCAACATTTCTTATTTCTGAAGCCATTTTTTTTTCTAACCTTTGCTACGACAAATTAAATCTGTGACAACTTACTAATCTTTGTGAATTTAAAAATGGAGTAATAAATTTCTATTCTCCTTGAGTTTTAACTTTAGATCTAAATCTAATTATAACAAATTCAACACGTAGACAATTTAGTTTCGTCAACAAAGCTGCTTTTTTTTTGTTCTGTCGGGTATCGACTAGATCTAGACTAGCTCAGCCACGAAGTTAGTTTTGAAAATGGCTGGTGTGTTGCGAACGAGGCCTAACTACACGTATAATATGTCTGCTAAAGCAATAACTAAGTTCACGTTTCACAGCACTGTGTATCCCTCGTCCGTCACTTGAACGTCTGTTCACACGTCCTCGCTCAGGTTGGTAAACCCTACTAAACTGTACACACACGAAGGTTACGATGATGCAATGTTTACCATGGCCGGATGTAAACGCGATGCCGATTGGCTGAGCCCGTTTGAAAACTTCTTGACTGTGAGTCTGGGCTGACCGTGACAAACGCGAATATAGGCCAAGGGTGTGTTCTTTTCTAGGTCACATTCGCGCAGCCTACGTTTCCTGTACCGAAAGGATAATGGAGTGTTCTTATTGCGGCGTCCTAGCAGAGTGTATAAATGCAAAGCCATGGCCGAATATCGTACAAGTCCCAAATAGTAATCTCACTATGTTTTTATTGTTCTAAGCAATCACAATAACTGAAAAAAAAATCATGCATTGATAAACGTAAAAAAACATTTTTTACAATTTTAATTAGCCTAAATGAGATGATTTTAATATTGTAAAAAAAAACAATTTTTACAATTTTAATTAGCCAAAATGAGAGGATTTTAATGTTGTAAGATATTGTTATTGTTTAGATTTTAGTTATAGAATTCAAAATATTAGTTTTCTTTAATGATATTTTTTTTACAATAGCTGTAGTCGTAGAACGTCCCCGAGGCCACATAAACAGGTGAACTCTACTTCACCTGCCCCATGGACATTCAGGTTCGAAAAGGGAACTTAATTATAATTAGCGAATGGAAAGAGACAAGTCACAGCGATGGTTTTGCTAAACGCCCGTACTGGGTACGAGTGTGAGTGACGAGCGGCTATGTTCTAAAAATAGATCATGTTTTCACTGCAACAAGCAGACGACGAGAGGACGACGAAAATCGATTCGCCAGCAACTGCATTGCATTAGAACAGGGGTCTCCAAACTACGGCCCGCGGGCCGTATGCGGCCCTCGAGGTCATCTCATCCGGCCCGCGGAGATCTTTCTGTCCTCGGAAAATTTTTTTTTGTTGTAGTGGCTGTGGAACTTTGCCCAAAAAAATGAAAACAATTTGAAAATGTAGCTTTGGGCGCAACTACCATTGCCCACTGTGTTGCAGACATTGGTGAAAACATTGTGGCTCAAACAGCAAGTTTTGCCATTTTTTAATTGCAATGGATGAGTCGCTGGACAGCTGTTTCACCTCTCAACTGTTGTGTTCATTAGAGGTGTGGATGAAGACGTGAACATAACACAAGGACTGGCGTTCCTACATAGCATGTATGGCACTGTTACCGGAGAGGGTATATTTAATGAGTTAAAAAAATCATTTGCTGATTATAACTTGGTCTGGACTAACCTGAGTTACCTGACTGTTGATGGAGGAAAGTACATGAATGGCATAAAGAAAGGCTTGGTTGGACAAGTGAATGAGAAAAACATTCTACAACCGATGTTCCTGCACTGCATTATCTATCTGTAAGCTTTATGTGCTAAATATGTGGATATTAGCAGTGTACTGAATCCTGTAGTGAAGATGGTGAATTTAATAAGGTCAAATGGGCTCAACCAAAGATAGTTCAGAGACATGTCGAAAGATGCAAACGCAGAATCGCAAGATTTACCATAGTACGCAACAGTAAGATGGCTAAGTTGTGGGAAAGTTCTGAGCAGAGTATTTAAAGTTAAGAAAGAAAATAGGTGACATCCTGGAAAGTAAAGGCAAGCCCCAGCCATTAATGTCTGATGATGATTGGGTATGGAAATTGACCGTTGCTGCAGACATAACTAGTCATTTAAATTTTCTGAACCTAAAACTACAAGAGAGGGAAATCTAGTTTCTGATCACCTATCAAAAGGCCTTCAGATCCAAACTTGCCATATTTTTGGAACAAGTACATGCCAACAACTTGATGCACTTTCTGCAGTGCACGGTCTATCATGGCTGACGCTACAGCTGAGTTTACCACGGCATTTGCATGCGAGATCACAAAAGACCTCCAGCTGCAGTTTCAGTACCGTTTTTCTGATTTGGATTCAAAGGCAGAACAAGTGAGACTGTTTTAAAACCCATTTGAAGCAAATGTGGCCAGTTGCCCAGATGAAATGAATTGCAAGCAAATTACCTCCTTAGAGACAAGTTCAATGAAGCCTTTCCAAAAATTAAAACGTTTGCATTAAAGTACCTTACACATTTTGAAACAACATGCTTGAGTGAACAAACACTTCCAAAGAATGAAATACATGAAGGATAGTTTGAGAACAAACTTGGACCTCGAGTATGTTGTCGGCCCCCGATAGTGTTTCTTTCAGACTTTTTTCTCCAGGGACGACGACACTAGAAATGTGTATATATTTCTATATACATTATATTTCGTTGTGTGTGTGTTGGTGGGGGGGAGGGGGGGGGGCCATCTTCGGAGGGGTGGGGGGTGACCCGAAGAGATGCCTGAAAGAAACTCTGGCCCCCGAACTGATATTTGATAGTTAATGCGGCCCTCAGGCTGAAAAGTTTGGAGACCCCTGCATTAGAATAAAAAAAATACACTGAGAAAAGTTAGGGGAATGAAGCAGTAGGGGTTGGGGGGGGGGGAGGGGGGGACACAGGAAACAGCAACAGATTTTGTAATGGTGTCAATGCTATAGGTCAACGACTTACATCAAACGGACTGAAGTGTAGATAAGACTGATAAAACGCTAATATGAACTACTTTTTATAAGGTCAAGGTGATTGAGATATTCTGAAGAGAAAAAAAAAAACAACAACACAATATGATGAAACAAAAAACATCTGAAAGTCAAACTTCCAAACAGGGTTTCTTCCAAACTTTTTCTCTGGGGTGGGGGAGCGGACTGGTAAAAGTATACATTTTCTATATACATTCTATTTCGTTCAGTGGTGATGGGGGGGGGGGGGGGGGGAGAGAAACACTGGAAGAAACACTGCATCCAAAGTCTAAACAGAAAAAAAAATCCACCCTTTATTGAAGTGTTTAGGAATGGGCTATCTACATGCTTTTTTTTATCTTCTAGTTTTTTCACAAAAATACAGGTGGAGATAAATGATATCTTTAATACCACACCACGGTAAATAATACAAAGTTCATATTATAATTTTTGTTGCATAGGCCCGTGCAGGTTGCGTGGTAGTTTCGTGTCCACCCACTTCTAGTCTAAGTTTCTCCACATGAGACATCAAGGACACCATACTGACAGAGATGGGGGTGGGGAGAATCGAACTCGAGAATTTTGGTTTATATTGCAGTCTACTATATGACCACACGGCTACATTGAAGAGAAGGTGTTTGTTAACTATAATTCCAGACTAAAATGGCTGAAACATCAACAACAACATCAACAACGAAATGAAACTTAAACAGAGTTTATCTTGTGGTCGGTGTGGAGGTTGAATCTAAACCAGTCCAAAGGATTACTGTAAAACTCCGTATTTCCTGCAACTCATGCAATTAATTGAGACCACCCCCCTTTCACCACCTTCCTATGTTAAAATTAATTTGCATTATTTATACATTGTTAAAATTAAGCTGAATTATTTGTAATTTGTAGATGTTCATGAAATTATATTTACAAGTACATTTTTCATCAGTAAAAACTTTTGATTTCCTGTATTTAAAAAAAAAAAGATTTCTAATTGCAATTAATTTTTGTGTGCTTTAAAAATTACGTGATTTTACGGTCGCAAGCTCATTATTCAATTAATTGTCGTCATCTACGGCCACCAACAACAGCCCTCCAGAGTTCTCTGTCCTGCTGGAGTATGGGCCGCCAACTACAGCTCTCTATAGTTCTCTGTCCTGCTGGAGTATGGGCCACAAACTACAGCCCTCCAGAGTTCTCTGTCCTGCTGGAGTATGGGCCGCCAACTACAGCTCTCTATAGTTCTCTGTCCTGCTGGAGTATGGGCCACAAACTACAGCTCTCTAGAGTTCTCTGTCTTGCTTAAGTTTTTTTCCTATTGTTGTTGCTCGTTCAACTATATATATATATATATATATATATATATATATATATATATATATATATATATATATATATATATATATATATATGTGTGTACTGAAAAAAGTATGTTTACAGTAGACTACCAACAATGTAGATGGTAATATGAACCAACAAGTTACCCGACCGTAGAAAATACGAAAGCGTTGAATATGCAGAAACCATCTTTTAAGCCTAACCTTGTACCTATTTACTGACCTTGAAAGTCCTACCTCGACCGTGGGTAGGAAAGTACTAAGTTATTCCCCCTTATAGTGGACATCATCCATTTTTTAACACGTTTTTATTAACTCAGCTTCGCGTGTGTTTGTTGTTAAAATTGACATCGAAAATTAGCCCACTTCTGATTGCTCTATAGACCTGAAATTTGGCATGCATGCTACTTTCGCCTAACAATTTCAGATGCAATCATAAAAACTAGCAATTAGAGACCGTAATTAGCTTAATTTAATTACGCCCCAAGGACCATAAAATTGAGGACATGATTTCTAAAGATACCGACAAGACTGGAGGCTTATCGACACAGTTACTTCGGCCCCAATCGATGTGAGCGCGCTGGCCGTGATCGTATAGTGGTTAGTACTTCTCGTTGTGGCCGCGACAACCCAGGTTCGAATCCTGGTCGCTCAAGATTTTTTTAGTCCGTGTATTTATAAACACTTAGTCAATTCATACTTAATCAAGTCATTAGATAAAGTAGAAAATAAACTATATAAAAAACTTTTTTAAAAACCACGTTTTTCATGTGTAGCAACGGACTAAAAAGGAGAAAATAAAATACTTAAAAAAAACT